TGGGAGTTGAAGTCCACATCTCTTGAAGTTGCCAAGGTTGAGAAACGCTGATCTAATCCAACCCTCTGCCCTGTACAGAAATCCACTTCTGCAACCTCCCACCAGATGGCCACCCAGCCTCTGTTTATACACCTCCCTTGAAGGAGAGTCCATCATCTTCTGAGAACATCTGTTCAGTTGCTGAGCAGCTGTTCTCATTAGGATGTCTTCCTGATGTCCAGCCAACATCTCCTTCCTGGTGACTTAAACCCTGTTTCTTGCCTTTGGCAACAACTCTGGACATTTCTGTCCCATCTTCCCCATGATGGCTCTCCAGATACTGGAAGGTGGCTGTCATGTCTTCTGTCCTCCAGCTTAAACGCACCCAACTGTTCCTCGTGAGCTTTTCCTTCCAGACAGTTTGGGTTGCTCTCCCCCCGGATGCGTTCCAGTTTCTTGGCAGTTTGCATCGAGACCAAGAGTCATCTCGCCCAGCTTTTTGGCCCTACAATGGCCAACAGATGCCTCCAGGAAGCCCACCTACAAGGATATCCCTGTGCATCTCCCCCCAACCCTTCCATATAACTGTCCCGTTTTCCCCGCCAGTTTTCAAACTATGTAATCCATGGGAAAATTCACCAGATTTGGACCTTGGGATAGCGACTCGGGGTTTTCTCAACTTGAAGTATGCTTGAGGGTTTTCTCTGTCTCTAAGCTCTTCCGTGACCCCAGCAGATGCTGCACTTCATGAGCACGAGTGACTTCTTACATGGCCCTTCTTGGAAGAGCCACGTCACTTGGAGCGCCCCATGAATTTGCCTGGTCCCCCTTAAAGCTCACCAGGGTTTGTTCAAAAAAAGAGCCAGCTGGGTCTAGCGGTGGAGGCACCAGGCTAGAGACCAGGAGACGGTCAATGCTAGACCCGTCTTAGGCATGGGTGACTTTGTGCCAGTCCCTCTCTCTCAGCCCAACTCACCTCACAGGGTTGTTGTTGCGGGCAAATAGGAGGAGGAAGGAGTATGAGGTATGTTCACCACCTTGAGTTATTTATAAAAAAATCTAAAACCTAAATCTAAAAAAAGGCCAGCTTCAATCACACTGTCTCAGCTGCCATCTTGACTTTTTTGATCACACCCAGCAGACACCCCTGAAGCCCCGATAAGCCGGCGAGCATCGCCACGTCTTGTGGCAGTGAGTTCCGCTAGGTGTGCGTGGAAAGGCCCTTCCTCGCTCTGGGACCTCAACCTGCCCCTGCCAGCTTCGCCAAGTTTGAGCCAACTGCTGAAGCTCCTCGGCTCCCAACTCACCCTCGGGGCCTTTTTTTCCTAGAACCGCCACGAAATGCTGCTGGTGGAGCCGCTCAACCAGCTCCTCCAGGACAAGTGGGACCGGTTCGTCAAGCACCTCTTCTACTTCAACTTCTTCATCTACACGGTGCACATTCTCATCCTCACCGTAGCTGCCTACTACAGGCCCACCAAGAAACAAGGAAAGGTGATCCCCTCTCTCATCCTGGGGTGTTGTTTTTTTCCCTCCCCCCCTTCTTGCTTCCAACATTTTTTTTTTAAGCCAAGCCAAGGACGATGAGGAAAGAAAATGACAATGGCACTTTAATTGTTCGTGGCTGGCAAAAAAAGGAAAAGCCTGCTGAGCGGGTGGCCTGTTTTTTGCCGGCAAACAAGGAACTAGATCTACTTTCAGGGTTCCTGAACGTGGGCCAGGATGTCACTAGGGGAGCCCAGCCCACTTTGCTGCAGATACCCCAGATTGTAAACTATAGGTAATCCTTGCTTAATGACCACAATAGGGACCAGAAACTTGGTTGTTAAATAGGGTGGTTGTTAAGCGAATTGGACCCAATGTTATGACTTTTTTGCAGTGGTTGTTAAGTGAATCATGTGGTCATTAAGTGAATCCAGCTTCCCCCATTGATTTTGCTTGTCAGAAGCCCCCGGGAAGGTTGCAAGTGATGATCATGTGACCCCAGGGTGCTGCAATCGTAAATGTGAGGACTGGTCATAAGTCGCTTTTTTTTTTAGCACCATTGTAACTGTGAATGGTCACTAAAAAAATGGTTATTAAGCAAGGACTATCTCTAGTTGCTCAGAGTTCCTATTGTGCCCTTGCAAGGCGTCCCATGCAGGGCTCCTACCAACCAAATGCAAACCACCACCCAGAATCCTTTGGGCGTCAGATGGTGCCAAAATCAAGTGAAATCAAATGAATAAAATAATACGGTAAAGTCAGAGCTCAGCTGCTAGGGATTGCATGGAGACAGCCACATAGTTTTCTCCGCAGGAATTCAGAGATGGGTTGCCCTTCCCTTCTCCCAAGATATTTCGCCACCCTCCCTAGTCTGGCCATCGCCTGGGATCGTCTGTGGGTCTCCCATCCAAGTTCTTTCTCCCCTGACCTGCTTAGCTGCTTGGAGGTCAGACAAGGACAGCTGCTCCCTGCTGCAACAGATGATTCAAAAATAAATTGTGCTTGTTTAAAAACATCTTCAGAATTTAAGCTTTTAGGAAAAGCATACCTGGGTGGGGATGGTGTGGAAAAGAGAGAAAGAAAAAAATGCAGCTTGACAACAAACATTGTCCGTCTTGGTAGAGCGCTGGTGTGCCTTTCTTCCAGATGGGGCCTCCATGGGGAAGGGGTCAAAAAAGTCAAGATGGCTGCAGCAACTGCATAATTGAAGCTCTGCCTGTCAAGGCACATTAAAAAGGGGTGAGCCTTTTATCACCCTATTGTGGTGGCCATCTTGACTTTTTTGACCTCCCTGCAGTTGCCCCTATTTCCAGGATATTCTCTTCTCATCCTTCAAAATACATTTTTCCCTTTAAAACGATCTATGGCCGATTAAGCCTTGGGGAGGAGAAGTGGCCCGCTTAATTTCCCTTTTGGTTTTGTTTTATTTGTTCGACTTCTGCTGTCCTGCTGATTTTTGATTCTATAAGGACCAGTCCTCAAAAAATAACAGAGTTTGACTCAATCTGCTGGCTACATGCACAAGTACCCTCCTTTCTGAGGTTCTGTTTGTTTTCTTTTTAATTTCTTCAAGCGGGGTGCAATTCATTTTAGCTTTGCTTTCCTCTCGAAACTTTTGAGGGCCACAGAGAGACTATTTGAAAATAATAATACGAAGAACAACAACAGTAATTCATCAGGGCTTATTTCCAGCTAAGCAAACGTAGCGATCATATCTTTACTTTCGATGCTCCTGATGCGCTTGAGTTTTCCTGATGCAACTCTGTGTGCTTCCCGTTCACAGCCCCCGTTTACCTTTCATTACACGAGCAGTGAGTATTTGCGAGTCACCGGGGAAATCCTGAGCGTGATGGGAGGTGCCTATTTCTTCTTCAGAGGGGTAAGAGTTTGGACTCAATAAGGCCCAAAGACCCCTCCCCCCCCCACCCCACCCCCCCAAAAAAATGGGAGCAAGAAAGTGCAAAAGGAGCTCAAATTCCTGGGACCAGCTCTGGAGCTCATCCATTCATGCCTATGGGAGCAAAAGCTTGCAAGTAACTGCAAGCCCTGGACTGCTTCATCTGCGGCTCTGACCCCCCCCCCCCCCG